AAAGAAAGAAAGAAAGAAAGAAAGAAAGAAAGAAAGAAAGAAAGAAAGATGGATTAAAAGGAAGACGAGAAGGGGCCAGGAAACAGGAGCAACAGCACAGGCTGCCAGGAGTAGAGAAGAAAGGACAGGGGAGAAGTGGCAAAGGAGAGGGGAACTGATAAAAATAGGTGGGAGGAAAAGAAGGACGTGGAAGAGAAGAAGCTGTGGGGCTGTAAGAAGGGAGGAAAGGGGAGAATGCAGAGACAGCATGGGAAGGAAATAACTCCTGGCAGGTAACTATCCAGTAGTTCCTGACCTAGATAGCCCAGGCCTTGGCAAGTATTTGGATGGGAGACCTCCAAGGAATACCGGGGTCGTGACGCGGAGACAGGCAATGGCAAACTCCTTCTGAATGTCTCTCGCCTTGAAAACCCCATGGGGTCGCCATAAGTCACCTGTGACTTCTGCACTTCCCACCATGAACTACCCAGTATGTTTGCAACAGTTATTTCCCCTGGTCTTATATACAATTAGAAGTATATGTAAGAAACAAAACTTCTCTTGCTGCTAATCTCATCCCACCCACACAACTAGTCCTCTTTCCCACACCATTCCCTCCTACTGGTGATTAGTCTCCCCCCCCCCCACAAGCAATGGGAACGGGGCCAGCACACTCATCCAAGGTGGGGCACGTGCTTTGGCATCCAGCCATAGCTACATTCCCAGTGCAGGCTCTCTTTTCAGCACAAGGCTGGCCAGGCTATATGCAATGTAGTCGTACCTGTTTTTAAGGAAGCAACCCCACCCACACCACAGAGCACAACTGTATGACAGAGCTGGCTTGAAGCCCCATAGCATCAATTCAACTATAAGTGTTGCCAGGACCTATGAGGTGGAGACTCTGGAAATTGTTGGAGGAAGGATGACCTGAACACTGCCCCTTCTCCACCCGTACATATCTTGATATGGCAGGAAGCCCAAGTATCAACTCACCCCTGCCACCATCTCCTCAAATCAACGTAAGGTATTCTGGGTTTGGGGCGGGAGAGGAAATCCTTCTCCAAACTGACTTTCTATTTAAGGAGGTTTTTTGTCTCTAGAGATTGTATCCCCTCTATTTTTGCCCTGCTTTCTGCCAGATTGAGCAGATGAAAGTGCTGCTGAACAGGGGCAGACAGGCCCTGGGGGAAAACCCCTCAAAATGCCCCAGGACCCTCCACACCCTGAAGCAAGACAGGACTAGACGAGAAGCACATGTCCTCCTCCTTTGCCACAGGTCTCCCTGGTACTATGGAGAGGCCTTGGAGGAAACAGCCGGAGTTCCCTGTATCCTTTCCACTCCCCATGTCTTCCTTTCCAGTGGCAAAGTCTGGGTTCACATGGGGGGCAGGAGAGGAAAGGATGGAGAACACACTGGCTGTTTCTCCCAGGAAGCCTCATAGCATGGTGTGTGTGTGTGTGTGTGTGTGTGTGTGTGTGTGTGTGTGTGTGTGTGTGAGAGAGAGAGAGAGAGAGAGAGAGAGAGAGAGAGAGAGAGAGAGAGAGAGAGAAGAGGAAGGATAACTATAATGATTTCAAGTTATGTGTGTTTCTTTAAATGGTGGTAAGTTTCAGAAAAACAAGGGGGTGAAAGAGGGAGATGAGTGAGTAAGGTGATTGATTGGTGACTGAGAGTGCATGGATACAGCTAAGAAGTGTGTGTGTGGAGAGAGAGAGAGAGAGAGAGAGAGAGAGAGAACGCAGAGTGTACAGTCAGCAGCTGTCAGTTGTGGTCAGTCTACAGAGTCTGAGATGCAGTCTTCTAATTAGGATCCCATATTAGTGCTGTGAAAGGCATTAAGATTCTAAAGGAGAAAGTAAAATGCTTTAGGGAGCATATTGTGTGGTGGAGAGTCAAAATCTAATATTGTCAGAGTATTATAAGAGTGTGAGAGGAAAAAGCTGACAGAAACCTGAGTTAAAAGGGGAAAGATTTAACTGAGCAACATATAATAAAGATTGGAGAAAGTACATTCTGAAGAGAAGGAAGAGTTTGAGAAAGAGGAGTGAGAGAGTCTGATAACTTCGTCGGAAGTTATTAACATACACTGTTTTATTAACTGAAGAGACAAGTTACAGAACATCTTGTAACCAATACGCTTCTTGTACAAATAAAGTTTTATCTTGCTTATTGTTAACCCAGAGTCATATACTGTTTAAAATATAGGAGTCTCATCCTCAGGACCACATAGTCCAATGAAGGAGCCTTAGAGCTTGGGCACAATACTGTGGGAAAGGTTAATTGATAAGACTGGAATTAAAATTCCTGGTGGCAGCATTACATACCTCGAGTAGGGTTGCCAAATGTTACCTACCTTGCCGGCGGGGGACTCCTGCGTAGCTCCCGGTGCGCGCGCCGCATGCACGTCACAAGGAAGTGACGTCATGATGCCGGGCACGCTGGGGGCGGGGCCACAACCATACAAGGGAAAACCATAGAGTTTTCCCTTTTATGGCCGTGGCTCCGGCCCCAGCATGCCCGGCGTCATAACGTCACTTCCCTGTGACATGCACGCTGGGGTGGGGTTCCCCCCGGGGCCCGTTTCCCCGGCATCGGGGAACGGGCCTCTGGGGCGGGGGGATTTGGCAGCCCTAACCTCGAGTGAGAGAAAAAAACAAGAAATTTAAAACAACATCATACCTAACCACACAACTTAAAAGAGTGGTAGTGTGACAATAACGTATAGTGAGGAAAGGACTTCTGTACAGAGAATATGGGTGTGTCTTTATTTTTACTGTTTATAGGTGGGACAGGTGTGCTTGGGGGGATGGAATAGGGTGAGAGATGGTGCCATGATTCATAGTGTGTGGAATAGGGGGAGATACAGTGGTGGGAGAAGAACAGGACAGGTAAGGGGAAGGGACAGCAGACATCTGTGTGCTGTTGCCCCTTCTAGCTCTTCTTCCAGAAGAAGAGTAGGTTTTTATACCCTCCTTTTCTCTACCTTAAGAAGTCTCAAAGTGGCTTACAATATCCTTCCCTTCCTCCCCCCACAACAGTTGTAAGCAAACAGACCCCCTCTCTTTATTGAGAGGCAATATGGAGAACACCCCCATTTTTACAGCACCCCAGGAGCTCATATACCAGGCAGACTTGACCTAAGTATAAAAAAGATGGATCCCAGACAGGCGGGTCTCATAATCGTGCCTAGGCAGTCACCTTGGAAGGTGTGAGATCTTGGTCTGTCTCAGCTGCAGCCTCTCCCTCCACCCTGACATCTGCATGTGCTGAACAATGGACTTGCCTCACCCCAGAGCTAACACCATTCAACCTGGATCGCTAATCCTATCATCCTTGTCTCACCCTATCCTCCCCACATTTCCTTCACAATAACAACTCTCAATGTCTATCCCCTTTCCCACCTAATACAAAAAGAGGTTCACCAAACAGTATTGTTTCCTTTTGACTAGTTTAATTAGCAATCCATTAGCCCTCTGAATCATTGGAGGAGGC